TATTTTCCTGGTCTTTCAAGTTCTGAAGCCACATCATGGCCAGAATGATTAGCATGGACATCCTGGTACACGAAGTGCAACACAAATGTCAGGCTGGCAAGGAAACGACTTTTCTGTTCCAATATGCCGACAGTCTCTCATTAATCGAATGCCACTATCCCCTGCATAACAAAGGAACTGACAGCTAAGGAGTTCCGTGAAAGACAGATGCTGTGTTATGCTGATCAGTTCTAGAAAAAAAAAAATCACTCCGTGAATAATTCAAAGACATTCTCTTTTGACAACATTTAAAAGAATGGTGACATGTTTATAATATAATTTAGGAATAACAACTTCCAAAAAGACATGTTACTAGCTCTTCCCTTTTTGGGGCCATCATTTATCTGCTGGTTGTTCTAACAGGCGTACAGGTAGAAAAAAGCAGATTTTTATTACAAATTGCATCTCAAACATCTCAAGTGTGCCTCGAGTACCTGGCACGGCTAAGAAGGAATCAAATTATGTTCTCATTTACCCTGAAGTAAGTCTGGAACAATTCCATTTATCCCACAGCTCATATAATTAGTGTCATGTATACTGTTCACCAGTTTGCAGCAGTTAAAGTCTTTATTACTGGATGCATTTTTTAAGAAAATATGTTGCATTCATCTCAGAGCTTATATGTAATGCGAGGATGAGGGGTAAGAGCAGAATGAGACCATTACCAATCGAAAGGAGCGTAACACAGACAGGTTCCCCATGCTGGATAAACCCAGTTCCATCAGGCTCAGTATAACAATTATGCTGTCAAAAATGTTCCATCCCTGCTGAAAATAGTAGTAGGGGTCAAGGGCAATTACTTTGAAGATCATTTCTGCCGTAAAAATCCCAGTGAAGACCTGCAGAAAGAAAACACAAAGTGAAAACAGCCTTCCACACATCCCTCCTTTATCGCAGAGTCTCCACACAGTCACAGGTGAGCACAGCAGAAAGCCAAAAACACACTGTGAGCAAATACGTCATTCTTTCACGGTTGATTCTTTATCAGTGCTACAGCTCCGGCTTCGTCTGGTCTCTTTGCAGCGATGCTCGGCGATGTCTGGGTTCAGCCCTTGATGGGGACAGACACTTACATTGCCTTCTGTCGCCTGCATCTTCTCAGTGGTAGAAAAGAAAGCGTAAAGGTGCCTTTTATAAAGGTTAAATCTATTTCAGTGGAGAAACCTGAATGAATGGAGTGGGAGTTTTAAAGGGATATGTGGACTGCAGCGTACCGGCTGTATTATCTGTTGTTATTTTGTTATTACTGTCAATACCAGCTCAAGCCTCCAGCCATTCTGAACTCTCTTCCTGGCACCAAAGGCAATTAGAGACCCTAATTTGAACCCTCTTATTTTTTTTTTATTTCTTTATTTTTACAAATACTTCCAGCAGATTTCTTCTCACAGCATCTTGAAGACGCACTGCTTATTTATGACACAGTTCAAATGTTACAGAGTGGAGCTTTTAATTGGAACATATTTCTTTAGAACAACATATAAATATTGCCTAAGAGGCATGGGAAGAAGACAGAGGAAGTCTGCAAATTCAGACAGCAAATTAAATTTTAACCCATTCCTTCAAAGCATCTGAGAGAATCAGATCGGATCCTTTCAGATGCAGTCCTTAAGTATCAGGATAAATACGATAGCTTAAAAAGAGAAAATGTGAGCATCATGTTGTACTCACACATAGTTTCATTTCCATTCTAAGTACCTGCTCAAGTGCACAGAGCTTCATGTTCTGAAAAGATCTCTGCTGCACTTTTATATCAAAGCACATGGTTTTCGACACAGCAGTCAATATCAGAGCACTGTGTAAGTCAAAAAGAGGGGACACCAGAACTGATACAGCAGTAACAAACACTCAAGGAGAAATGTTTTCTTTCCCATAAGTTTAATGTCTGTAGCTATCTCAACAAAAGTGATCAGATCTAAGCAAGAAATAAGAGAAACTCACCACTGTGTGGAAGGGAAAAGTTGAGGCTCTATAATTAAGGTGTGAAGGAGTTAAAAAAAAAAAAAAAAAAAAAGATCACAGTTTGCATTTGATGAAAGTTTGATTTTACCCTATAATGCTTCAGGAGCGAATGGCTGGATTCTTCCAAATAGCCATTTTATACAGCTCCTTATGTAAAATATATTCTTGTCATGGAAAGAGTATTCAGACTGTGTCAGTGTGAACTGCCATCCTATCAGTGTCCCATACCAAGAGCCTAACGCAGTGGTCCATCTCTGTTTCCTAAATGACATGCAATTTCTGAGTCTCTGTGGCTGGAGATAGCAGAGATTCCCACCTGAATGCCCCAGTTTCCCTAAGGATAGCAAACCAGCCCAAACTAGATGGCTGTGAAATCGTATCCAGGGGACTGCCTGCAAACCCACACCATCATGCTGCCTACACTGTGTAACTGCCTTGCAGAGAAATGACTCAGGAGGATCGCTTCCTTTGCTTGAATCTTTTTTAATCAATAGCCTTCTGAGAAGGAAATGTCATAGCAAGATAGAAAAAATGTCTGAGCCATCTTATAGGCATCAGGAGCCATGTACGTGCACCAGTGACAACCTTCAAATGGGAGTCACCAAATTGCCAGCGCCTGATAACCAGCTGTTAGGCTTATATGAGGAGCTGGATGCTGCAGTGATGAAGGCTGGATAAGAATAACTATGGCCTCAAGTTGCACCAGGTTGAGATAAAGATTGGATGTTAGAAAAAAATTCTTGCCCAAAAGAGTGATGAAGCACTGGAATGCACCAACCTAGAGGTGCTCAAGAAACATTTAGATGTTGTATTAAGGGACGTGGCTTAGTAGGGAAAGACTGATGATAATTGAATGGTTGGACAGGATGATCTTGGAGGTCTTTTCCAACCTTGGTGATTCTATGTACTCACCATTCTACTGGGTATGGTTGTGAATGTGCCAGTGGGGACTTGGAGGAGTTTCTCTCAAACAAACAAACAAACAAATAAATAAATAAATTTCTCCACCTACTCTGCAGTAATGTCTCCATTTCTAAAGAGACACAGAAATTGAGAAAAATCTCACTTTATCTGTGTTATATCATCAAGCTGTGAGTGTGCTGGTCAGGCCTTGCGAGGGCATTTAGAAATGTTGGTTGCTGTAACTGATAAGCTATAGAGGCCCAAAGGAAGCAAGTGCCACACAGTTGGTCGATGGAGATAGCACCATCAGAGTGGGAGATCTCCAACACCTAGCAGGCAGACTCTTCTCACAGATAGCAAATTCATATCCCACTCTCATTCCTTTCAGAAACACTTATTTGGAGGAAAAAATGCCAAAGATGTGGCCTTTTTAATATCTTCCCCCACCTAATGCTGGTGTAATCACTCAAAAAGGGTTAGATGGGATGGCAGGAGCTCAGAGCTCAGTGTGGGCGCAGAGGAGGCTCTGGCAATTGGTGGCTTAGGGGAAGCAGGCACCTGGCAGTCTGCCCTGGAGCTGGGGCTGCCATCCCTTACAGGACGAATTGCAAAAAAACACACTCCATTTTCATTACAAATGACTTTGCAAAATCCTCCACAGGATGGAATTACCTTCCCTGACCTGCTCTACTCGCAACCATTCCTGTTATGTGAGGGTTTAGGAAATCTGGTGGGGGGAACCTCTCACCCATCCTAACATCTGAGGGGAAGGGCAGCCTAGGGCCAGCAACCAACTCCCAAACATAAGCAGCAGGCTATTTTGCTTATTTTACATTTAACACAAATCAAAATAGCTTCAGGCAGTGCCGAGAAGCTCAGGGTGAAGCACACCATCTTCTGCAAAATTTTGCAATGTTCAACAAAATTTCCTTTGCGATTTTCCCCCCACCCTCTGCTCGTCGTCTCCATTTCCATCAGCCTTGTTGGGAGCCCTGTGGGCAGGAGGGCTGCCAGGGGCTGGAGATTTGCTGCCTGTGGTCTGGCAAAGAGAGAAGCTGCTCTGTCAAAAGCAGAGCAAGGAACAGACGCATTTACCAGCCAGAGGGCGGGACGGTGGCATTGCCACCTGCTGTCACGGATGCTGGGTCCAAAGGATTTTTTTTTATCATCTGAGGAGTCATCTGAGAAGGCCACAAATGGTTGAGCAACATCCCCACAACGTGGGCTGGCTGCATAGAGGAGCTGGGTGCAGTTCTGCAGGGTGACTTTCCAAGCTACGCTTATCTACTGCTTCCCACAAAGGAGTAGAGCGTGGGTTTGGAGCAGCCAAAGGAGGCACCTAATTTTTCCCAGCATAGAGACAGGGAGATTTGCCAGGACACAGCAGCTGAAAACCTGCGGACTGGCTCCACAGGCTGAGAGACCTTCAATCTGCCTGAGGAGGTCTGCAGATAAGAACAACAAGGAGTAGTATAAAAAAAAAAAAAGAGAAAAAAGAAAAAAACATGAGCTGCACTGTGCGTACTGGTGCTGGTATAAGAATCGTGATTATTGTTACTACCCACCTAAAGCTGCCAGTGTAGGATGCATCTCAATGCAGACATGACATCTGCAGCATCTATGCATGCTCCTTTTGCAGCTAGCGGCCACTGAAATCAGTGACTTACAGGGCACAGTTCACCTTATCCAAAAGTAAATATCTTAAAAACATCAAATTCATTGTGTTTTAAAATTGTCCATTTCTCTCCATTGACTTTAAATGCCGTCAGCTCCAACAGAGACTCCTATGCTGTAAATATCCCAAGTTGGGCAACGTGAATCCCAGCTTGAGAGCCATCTTTTTTATAAAGATAAAGGGCTTTTCTCATCTCCACTTTGAGGTTCTTAAATTCAGACTTAGCAGGGTCCACATTCCAAGGTACTCCAGACCTTATTCTGGTCCTATAGTAAATCTTGCTTGTACTACTTTTAGGGGCAGTTCCACCATATCATAGCTAGATATCCTGTGCCTTTTCCAATACAAACTCTTCTGAAATTAAAAGGATTTTTAAACAGTAAGTTTTAAACCCCAGAAGAGGTGACAGTGTGCTTTTGCTTGACATGACATAGGCAAAGCAATGCTGACAGCATATTAATAATGAGAATCTTCCCAAGACCTAAGCCAAAACTTTACAAAGCAACAAATACATTCCTCAAACGGCGTCTCACCCTTATATTCACTTACCAAATTGCCTATGTAAAGCATGTGGTCAAACTCCTTTGTCATCTTATAATGCTCCAAGGCCATGAAGAGTGTGTTCAGCACAATGCAGAGGGTGATGGTGAGGTCAGTAAATGGGTCCATTACCACAAACTTGACAAATTTCTTGATTAAAAGCCAAAACGGGCAGCAATCCCAAATGAGAAATTTAACAGCAAAGTGGTTCCAGCACGGAGGGCATTTCTGGTGTGATTCCTCAAGCTCTAAGACACAAGCAGTAAAATAACAGTCAATACACACTGAGTTATATGACAAGGAAACATTTAAAATGACTTACAACATAGAGGAAGACTCTTGAATTACCCCAAACCATTTTTTTTTTCTTTTTTAGGACAAAACTATTTTTTTTAGAAAAATCTAAAATGAAGAGTTTTAAAGTGTTTAAGGGAAAAAGAGCTTAAATCCAATATTTAGAGTTGATTTACAGGATCATAGGTTAGTATGGGTTTGAAGGGACCTCTGGAGATCCCTCAGTCCAACACACTGCCAGAGCAGTTTGCTGCAGCAGGTCGCACAGGAAAATGTCCAGGTGGGTTTAAAATATCTCCAGAGAAATATCCACTACCTCTCTGGGCAGCCTGTTCCAGAACTTTGTCACCCTCACAATAAAGAATATTTTCCTCATATTCATATGGAACTTCCCATGTTCCAGTTTGTGCCTGTTGCTGGGCACTACCAAAAAGAATATGGTCCCATCCACTTGACTCCCATCCTTTAGATATTTATAAGCACTGGTAAGATCTCCTCCCGGTCTTCTCTTTTCCTCATATGAGAGATGCTTCAGGCCCCTAATCATCCTTGCAACCCTACACTGGGCTCTCTCCAGCAGTTCTTTGTCCTTCTTGAATTGAGGAGCCCACAGCTGGACACAGTATTCCAGATGTGGTCTCATCAGGGCAGAGTAGAGGGGAAGGATCACCTCCCTCACCCTGCTGTCCATGCTTTTTTTAATGCACCCTATTGTACCACTGACCTTCTTGGACACAGGGGCACACTGCTAGTTCATGGCCAACCTGTTGTCCACCAGGACACCCAGGACCTTCTCCACAGAGCTCCAGCTCCTTCCCACCAGATCAGCCCCTAATCTGTACTGATGCATGTGGTTGTTTCACCCCAGGAATAGGACTCTACACTTGCTCTTGTTGAACCTCATCAAGTTTCTCTCCACTCAACTGTGCAATCTGTCCAGGTCTTGTTGAAAGCAAATTGTTGAAAACAATTTTGCTCTCCTCAGCAAAATTGTTGAGAGTGCATTCTATTCCTTCAACCAGGTCACTGATGAAGATGTTAAACAAGACCTGACCCAGCACCAACCCCCGGGGAGCACCGCTAGTTATATGCCTCCAACTAGAATCTTTATCACTGGTAACCATCCTTTGAGCTCTGCCAGTAAGCCAGTTTTTAATCTACCTCACTGTCCATTCCTCTATCTCACATTTCCTAAGCTTGTCTGTGAAGATGTTACAGGAGACTGTGCCAAAAGCTTTGCGGAATTCAGTGTACACAATATCCACCATTCTCCTCCCATCTACTCAGCTGGTGATGACATCACAGAAGACTACTATGCTAGTTGAGCATGATTTCCCCCCTGGTGAATCCATGTTGACTACTCCTGATACCTTCTCTTCTGTTTGGTTGGAGATGGCATCCAGAACAAGTTGTTTCATCACCTTCTGGGGGACAGAGGTGAGGCTGATTGTTCTGGTTTCCTGACTCCTCCTTCTTGCCCTTTTTGAAGACTAGAGTGACACTGGCTATCCTCCAGTTCTCAGACACCTCTTCCCTTCTCCACAAACCTTCAAAGTTGACAAAGAGTGGCTTAGTGATCACTTCTGCCAGCTCTCTCAGCACTCATGGTTGCATCATTTGTGTGCATCAAGTTTGCCTAAGCAATCTCTGATCAGATCCTTTCCAGCCAAAGGGATATCTTCCTTTTCCCAGACTTCTTATTCCCAGGGACTGGAATCCCCTAGGCTTAGTCTTAGTCAAGACTGAATCAAAAACATTCACTATCTCTTCCTTCTCTGTGTCCTCCATTACCAGGGCACTCACCTCATTTTGAAGTGGACTCACATTTTTTCTAGTATTCCTTTTGCTACTGATATACTTGAAGAAGTCTTTCTTGTTGTCCTTGACCTCCCCCATCAGGTTTAATTCCAGCTGGACCTTAGTCTTCCTTTTTGCAACCCTGCATGCTCTGGCAGCATTCCTATATTCCTCCTAGGTGTCCAGGCCCCATTTCCACATTCTATAAATCTTCTTCTTCCATTTGAGTTTTTCCACGAGCTTCTTGCTCATCCATGCAGGTCTCTTGTCACCTTTGCCTGATTTCTCATTCTTAGGGACACACCAGTCTTGAGCTTGGAAGAAGTGCTGCTCGAACATTAACAAACTCTCTTGGGCCCCCTTACCTTCCAGTGCTCAAACCCATGGGATACCTCTAAGTTGGCTCTTGGAGAGGTCAAAGTTGGCTCTCCTTAAGTCCAGGGCTGCCATCCTACTTATTGCCTTGTTTCTTCTACATAAAACCTTGAGCTCCACTATCTTATGGTTGCTGCATCCAAGCTGCAACCAGCCTCCACATTCCCAACCAGTCCTTCCTTGTTTGTAAGAACAAGGCACACCTCTCCTCATTGTCTGCTCAACCATCTGCATCAACAAGTTATCTTCAATGCACTGCAGGAACCTCTTCGACTGTGTGGGCCTGGTAGTGGTTTTTTTCCAGGAAATATCAGGGTGGTTGAAGATCCTGTATGAGAACCAGAGCCAATGATACCATTGTTTTAAGAACCAGAGTATCACTGGTTATCAGAAGGATTCTGTTCTTGATGTTTAATCCAAAAAAGGCATTAAGTGTCCGATTTCTTCTGAAAATCAGGGGAGTGCATAACTCAGTTTGAAGGTGGTACTAAAGTTCCAATGTTCTTTTTAAAGGTACTTTTAAAGTGTTATTTAAAATACAACTTTTATATGTTCATTTTATTTGAGCACAAAAGAAGATAAATGGCTTTGTAAGTATAATTTGTGTTAAATGATGAAAAAGAAAAGCCAGAAAAGACAGTTAATGGCTGAATGATCATGATTAGCAGAATTGCTTAATGCTTTCCTTTTCTGATTCCTTTATGGGCATGGAATGCTGTATAACGGTTTTAGTCTATATAATTAGAACCAGAGGTGATAACAGGAAAGCTTCAGCCAAGCCTGTTATTTGAATCAGTTCATAAACAGCCTCCTTTCTCAAGCCAGGATGCATTCTAAAAGCATTTTCCTTCGTTGGACAACAGATCTGCAGTGTTAGGTGCTTTCTAGCACATTTTCAAAATATTGGTTGGTGTCCTCCATGTTCAGATTTTGCAGAAACACCTGCACTGCTCTGACATCTCTGGGAAGCAGAATTGCTCCCATCAGATAACTCTCTCTTTCCAGCTTCCAAACACAGAGTTTAGAGAGGAAAGCCTAAAATGATGCGAGAACCATTCATAACCCAGACAATTTCCATGCAAAATCCTTATTGTGCATTGTTTTCAGAAACCTACCTCTGAAAGCAATGAAGACTTTGAGGTAGTCACTTCCTAATGGACTTAGTTTTCCAGGTAGAACCAGAAGAACCCATTTATCTGCATACTCCTCATGATCATTTCTAACCAACCCTGTGTATTCCACTCTCACTGATTTTGATACCTTCACAATGCACACGTCAGATGTGCTGCTTCTCCCCTGAAACTCTACAATCAACAAAGCTTTTTTAAGCCCAGGTTGTTGGTAAAGCAGATAGTTTTGTCTCCCCCCTACATGTGGTTCCTCTGTCCTTTGTGCTCCTGCAGCTTCTAAGTGAGCTGATCTTGTTCACTGAAAATCAATTTTCTGTGCAGCCTAATTTACTGCAGGAACAGGGAAGGAAGAAGGTGTGACCACTCTCTTTTGGTAATGACGTGGCATTAAAATAGTTTAAACCATTTAAGAATTCACATCCTTTCTAATCTTTGAAAATTACAATATATTGAATATTTTTTAAAAGACACCTGTAAAAGAAAAAGTAAAATTGGAGGCATTTTCCCTCTTATTTTTAAACAAACAAACAAAAAAGTAGGTCCCTCCTTGACTGCAAGGCTTTGCAATGTCTGGGGACAAAAAATGGCTTTCCCAAGAGTCGAGAGCAGAAATCAAGCAACAAAAGGGGGAAGGGATTTCTGGTCTGGCTGTTCCAAGCCAAACATAGGGCCATTATTATACCTAAAGCCTGTGAAATTTTTCCTCTGATGTGATGTTCTTCTTGTTAAGAAGTAGTCAATAATTTCTATGACTGATCAAATTTTAGGGGTTAGGAAAACTTTGTTAAGGATTTCTGCTGTATGAGGATAAAAATACACATCCTCTGAAGTATGCTAAACTTGACAAAGACTATTTCAGAGATAAAATATTATAAATAATAGAAAGTATCATTAAATGAATGTGCAAGAAGTCCAGCCCAGGCCTTTTATGCATCTTCACATTGTCAACTGCAAAAAAAACCCAAATGAAAACAAAGAAAAAAAAACCACCTTTGCAGGTCATACTGAATACTGGCATATAGTGAAGTGATTATGCACCTATTAAGAATATAAATCCTTATTAACTTAAATATATGTATCTGTTCTGACCACAGTCCTGCTGACCATGAACAAAAAGGCTGTAAAAAGCTGAGGAAGAAGATGGGCTTTGTGGTTGTAGGCTGGGCTTTGTCTCCAAAGAGGCAGGTCTGGTTCCTTCCTATACACCTCCCAGACAAGTCATCTAGTCTTGCATTACCTTCTTATCCATCAGTAACACAAAGAATAAACCTCCTGGAGAATCCAAAACTTCCTGTGTTCCACTCTGACTTCTTGATAGTCTTCTATACTCTTAGTCATTACTTCCTATTCAGTCTCAATTTACAATGCAGAAGACCTAGGCTGATTGGAGGTGTCCTGGTCTGTGGCAGGGGGTGAAATTGGATGGGCTTTGAGGTCTCTTCCAAACCATTCTATGATGGTATAATACTTGTAAATGTAATGCAAAGTCTTGTGCTCTGCTACACTTCATCTTGGTTAGCCCTCTGTGCATCAGAAGCCGAGGGTAAACAAAATGTTAGCAGATCCAACTCTGATTATAATACCAGCATTTTGTCAGGATGTTTACAAGTCTATGGTAAGATTACACAGCCTTCTGTCAAGGCACTGCTCATATTATAGGGGTTGTAATATTTCTGCAATTTTTTCTCCCCAAAACAAAAGGGTTTAACCTGAAGGTTTTACTTGCTACTTTCTTCCTGCCAACCAAGATGCACTTGGCTTTGGGGGGGAAACAAAGACACGACTTACCTTCCAGGGCACTGGTGATGATGCTGACAGCACTCACTGCCCTCTGCCTCTGGAAGGGTTCATCCGAGTGGTCCACCGATGGGCGATGGGGCATTAACAGCTGCTTCTTGCTGGCCTCATCTGAGGGAGAGGTCTGTTGAAATGAACACATCAGGTCAGCTGAGTAAAACCAGGGCAAAAAAACGCAAGGCAAATTTGGGGCAGTGTTTTCCAAATCGTCTAAGCAGCCTTTTTTTCTAAGACCAGAACTCACCAGTTTCCCAATTAGATGTGTGCTGCTAGGGTACAGCTTTTGAAAATGGCATTTGGAGCAATTTTAAAAACTTGGCCTTGCTCTTTACCTCTGTGTAAACAGGTGAAAGATGCAGATGAAAATAAAGGGGCATTTCTCACATCAGAGAAACAGCAGTGCTGCTTTACCACACTCTTTTCTAGTGAAAGAGGCCCTGCTTAATTACATTAATTATACCATTATTTCTGAAATGTGTTAACTGTTTAATTATACTGCTAGAACAGGAAAAAGGAGTGTTGGTAACAGCTCCATTACAGGGTTCTGATATCATGCCAAGCCAACTTGCTCCTCAGTACATGGTTTTTCTTGGTCTGAAACACTGCCAGATCTGAGGAACATACTGTCATTCTGGTGATCTTTGGTGTCATGGAT